GTAAATTCAGTTAAAATTCAGGAAGAGGGGAGGGGGGGGGGGGGGGCGGCGGCAAAGAGTGGCTTTGGTATAATCAATAAATTGAAACTACCATTTAATTACATGTACATTTAACGATTTATTTACTAAAACCACTGCAGCTGATAGTACTACTATAGTACTACTTCTACTACTACTAGTACTACTATTACTACTACTACTACTATTACTACTAGTAGTAGTCCTACTTCTACTAGTACTATTACTACTTCTACTACTACTACTACTACTACTATTACTACTACTACTGCTACTAATATAACTACTACTACTACTACTACTACAACACCACTACTTCTACTACATCTACTTCTACCATATCATGTACTACAATTCCACTTCATATTTTCTCCCTCTACTATTACTACTAGCCTACTACCAGTGCTAATACCACTTCCACTACTACTACTACTACTACTTCTTCTACTACTACTACTACTACTACTACTACTACTACTATTGCTACTACTACTACTTCTACTACTACTACTACTACTCCTACTGCTACTACTAATACTACTACTACTCCTACTTCTTCAACTGGTACTACTACTACTACCACCACCACTACTACTACTACTACTATTACTACTACTACTATTTCTATTACTACTATTATTCCTTCTATTTCGACAAATACTACTATTTCTACAACTATTACTACTACTACTATTACTACTACTACTATTACTACTACTTCTACTACTACTACTACTACTACTCCTACTGCTACTACTAATACTACTACTACTCCTACTTCTTCAACTGGTACTACTACTACTACCACGTACCACCACTACTACTACTACTACTACTACTACTACTATTTCTATTACTACTATTATTCCTTCTATTTCGACAAATACTACTATTTCTACAACTATTACTACTACTACTATTACTACTACTACTATTACTACTACTACTAATAGTACTACTACTACTAGTAGTAGTACTACTACTTCGACTACTACTATTACTACTACTATTAATACTACTACTACTACTACTTCTACAACATCATGTACTACAATCAACTTCTTTTTCCTCCCTCTACTTTAATACTACTAGTAGTACTACTTAAATACTTATATTACAAGTACTACTACTTCTACTACTACTACTACTACTACTACTACTATTTCAGCTCCTAATACTATAACATGTACAGGTTCTTCTAATATTACTACTCCTACTTCTGTTATTACTACTACTACTACTACTACTGCTGCTGCTGCTGCTGCTACTACTACTACTACTACTACTTCAACTGCTGGTACTACTACTACTACTACTACTTATATTACTACTGTTATTTCTTATATTTCGACAAATACTACTATTTCTACTACTACTATTACTACTACTATTACAATATATAATACTACTTTTACTACTACCACTTTGCTAGTACTACTTTACTACTGGTATTACTATTCCTACTACTACATGTACTACTACTACCTGTACTACTAATACTACTACTTCTACTAGTAAATGTACTACTTTATTATTTATATTACTACTACTACTATTATTACTACTTCTGTAGCACTACTACTACTACTACTACACCTCATTCTACTACTACAATTGTTACTACTACTATTCCTACTACTACTAGTACAACTAATACTATACTACTACTACTCATTCTCTCAACCCTCCTCTTACTACTACTTCTATTACATGTACTACATATCCGCTTCTGTTTCCTCCTTCCTCTATTATAATTCTTTTACTACTGTTGTTACTGTTACTACTACTACTACTACTACTACTACAACAACTACAACTACCTACTACTACTTCTACTACTACTATCCTAAACTGTATGTACTATTCTTCTACTACTACGACTATATTGCTGCTGCTACTGCTGCTCCTGCATCAACTAACTCCCTTTCTTGTACTACTTGTATAACTATTTACAGTACTTAATTACATGTAGTAATAATACCACTTCTACTTCCAATATTAATACAGAACAACTCCTGTACTCCTGCTGCATCTGCTATTAATGTTAGTACAACTAGTACTAATACTACTACTACTACTATACTACTTCTTCTACTACTACTACTACCACTGTCCATTACTAATATACTGCTATTACTACAAATACTTCTACTATACTACTTCTACTATACCCAGTACTATTTTTACTCTATTACTACTACTTTTTCTGAAGTTGTACTTCAACTTCTGCTGCTGCTGCTGCTGCTTTTATCACCATTGCTGCTCAGTGTGACACATCACCTGTTATTTCTACGCCCTTTTCAATATAACATTGCATGTTCTTGAAAACAAGTACAGCCCACATTACCAGCTCTCTTTCTCTTCTATCTAACCATATTTCTCAGTGACTGAGCAAGCGTTATTCACCTCCATTCAATGTCTGTCATCCATGACGGCAAACATGGACAGAGTACAATTGACTCAAGGATTAGCATTTCAAAGCACAGATTCACATTAAGATAAACTTGAGTTCTAGTAAAAAAAAAAAAAAAAAAGGAAAATTAATTCTCACAGAATCAAACGAAACTTACACTGAATGTTCAAGATTACAAATAAATGTCATTTGCCAAACGATTTTTGTAGAAAATGTATACTGGCTGAGTAATGAGCATAGAAAGATAAGGAAATCAAGGTTAGTAGCCCCTACACCATTTGTGTAGTCCCATATACATTTTTCTGTGTACATGCAGTGCTTGTTACTTTAACATGACTTGGCCAAATTTATTATGATTTTGATGACTTCAGAACCTAGCAGTACACACCAATACTTACACGCTACATGATCTCATAAATTGCCATGCTTTCATAAATTGCCATTTTTTTTGGTTATCACTTTCTTGTTTTTTTATTATTCCATTCTGTATCTGTACGTTTTAACTGTTTTCATGAAGAGTGTTGAATAAACTTTGAATGGATCAACTTTTTCTGGTCTATTCCACACATTTTCTTTCACAATGCAATCGCATGACCATAACTTAACTTTATCTTTAATATGAAGTTAGCAAAGTCAAACATGACAGTGGGCTTATTCATATGGGGACACGGTAATGAACTGTGGAATGTCATGATTATGTAGTAACAAACACCATGTCGTTTATCTAAAAATCTCATTCAATTCATTTTCTTTTCCAAACAAAAGATAATACACTATAACATGTTGACATGTGCACGGCATGGTTGATAATCAGAAGCAAATAACCAATAACAATAAATCTTACAATACATAAAAGTGCAACACGACCAGAGAAAATCAACTGGAAAGCGTTTAAGGGTCTCAAACTTTTGATATACATACGAATCGTGAGAAAAAGAAACCACCCCTCCCCAAATCTAGGAAAAAGGGTGATATGTTACTGCGCTTTAATACTCTCGCACCTCCACAATTTAAAAACTGTTTTGCCTCCTCCGGATCGATCCTGCCCCCTCCCTGCATTTTCTGGCAATTCTGTGTTTACCTTTGTATTGAGACAGTAGCCCGGTTTCCATCGCCTCTGTAAGTTAGACTTGGCTTAAAGGGAAATCTTACTTTGATAGGAAACTAGACTAAAGGAAAGCAACACAATCAGAGATCTAGATTTGTTAGTGTTTGAATGAAAGCAGACCCCCTCCCCCCCCCCCAAAAGAGAGAAAGTAATGAATTTTTTGAAAGTTGTGATCACCACAGGTATAGGTTCTTCCAAATGGCTGAATCAGTGAAGTCGCTGTGATGTAGTGGTGGGCAATTTGTCCGTTTGTTCCAACCCACAAAATGACTTAAATTTAAATTTCGATCCATGATATATTTTGAGAAAAACAGAAATTAGAGATATTTTTGTAAACGACAAACAGGAGAGTTATAATTGATATTTTTGTGATGTATGGCTGATAAGCGTTCTGTTTATATTATTCAGACATGTAATTTTTCACTTCAAACAGGGTCTGTAAGTAAATACAAAGATTACGTTTTTCTTTGATTTAACATTTGATCCTTTGTTCAAAAGAGATAAAGGCTGTTGCCCATTAATTTGGAATAATTTTCTTATCACATGTTTTTATGAAATGACTGTGACAATAATTATGGTTTATTCTTGAGAGATATATTTTTTTATTTAAGTTTTCATGAAGTTCTGAGAAGAATTGAACTTAATGCTTCAAGAATAGATTATATGTTGACAATCATTTCGTGAAAAGAGGTGAACATCCCCCTATAAGTGTATGGGCAACAATACGTTGTGTGTGGGGATACGCCATGCAGATACTACAAGGGCGTTGACTCAAGACAAGAGAGTAATGCCTCAGTCACACTGAGAAATAAATTCTCGATATCATGACATGATTTTCTGTTGTAAAGGAATGGTAATTCTTGATATCAAGAAATAGGAATAAATGTCAAATTCGCTAAGGTGTGACTGAGGCATAACAGAGGGAGGCAATATGGGTGACCATTATAGACAAGTGGCCACTAAGACGGGTGTGACTGCGACATAAGTTACGCCCTTCCGGTTGTCAGAAGACAAACTGTGATTTTTGATTTTCTATTTTTTTCTAGGAAGAAATTACACGCCTCACAGAGACACAGTACTTAAAGGTCAGATGTCAGCATGGGTCAAGGTCATTCAAAGCGAAACAAATCAAAACGGTACCAGTTCGATGAAGGACCGACACAAGTTGCAGCAACAGGGAAACAACGTCGGTTTACCGGAAAACCGCGAAATGTCTCGCAGTACCTCACCCAACACAGCGACCAAATCGCCCAAAATACTCAATATACCGCCCAACAGAGTCAGCAGATTCAGTACAAGCGAAGATCGAGTCAAGATTACTTACACGCACAGATGAGAGATGAAGCGGTTGAAAGTAGGCCCCAGTCTTGGCATGAGTCGCGGTTCCGTCCGCTAGCTTCAGCCGTCTCTGATGTGAGGTCACGAATCACCGGTAACTACAGACCGAATGAAGCCCGTTCAACTCGCAGAGAGACATCATACTTCGCTACGCATGAAGACGATAATATAACATCTATGGGCTACTATTCAATGGATCGACATGAGTCTTATTCAGGTAAGTTTTTACACTTTTTTTTCAAAATTTTTAAGAACAGTTTCTTGACACTCTCTTGAATTATCAAATTAGCCATCAAAGTTATTGTGTTATTTGATACTGTAGCTTAATCTATCGAATATTACCTGAAAAAGTTGCGGAGCGAGAATCTGCAAGGGGTACGTCTGCACGGAAAAATGGGGGCACGGGGTTCCGGTCTTATTCTGAAAATGAAATGCACATTTACTTGGCCATGGGTGTTGACATCTTCTTTTCTCGTATAATAACCCCCATTCTCTCTTTCTTTTTCTCTCTTTTCTTCTTGCTCTTTCTTTTTATATTTTTCACCGTCGATTGAGGTGGGGGGGGGGGGGGGGGGTTAGCACGCGGTACGTGCCCCTTGCCTTTGTAGCTACGCCAATGTATCGTTATATTAAACCTAACCAATGACATCTCTCTTAATTCTTACTCCTTGTTGCAGTGAGAGATTCCTCGTTTGTCCCAGTTTCAACTCGTCCCGAGAGATCAGAGGTCACCGAGCTTGAAATCAAGGAGCTTGTGGAGGAGCTGCGAGAAACCGATTGGATGCGGCTCGGCAGCCATCTTGGAATCTCGACCAGTAGACTTGCCGCCTTCAGGGAGCGTTATCATGGCAACGTACCGCTATGTTCGATGGAGGTTCTGTTGCTATGGAAACACAACTGTTCAGAGGTCATCAACCCAAGATCTCATCTGGCCCTGGCACTGTCAACAATTGGACGCGAAGACCTTTACGGCAAAATCAAACGTAATTAAAGTTCACTCGTACACTAATGGGTATGAGCGTTATTGGATGACAACCAATGTCCTCCAATATAAGTATATTCTGATAATTCCCGTATTAGTGGTTCTTTGAAGCCTTTTGGTGAGCAGCCTTTTTCGATGTTCAAGCGTGCTCACTGACTCGATACTTGTCTCTCCATGGAGGGAAATGCATTGTCCTTTTTAAAAATCCAGTTGTTTTGGTTAGGAAGGAGATATTTTCTTTCACCTCCTTTATCGCCATAGCCAATGGTTAACATAAGAAATCCAAACCAGATTACTAAAATCCACTTGGCTGGGCCACTCGCTCTGGCATTCACTCGGGTTTTCGCGATTTAGTCTCTTTTTAGTCGCTCGGCGTCTATCAGACATGAGGCCTTGTCTAAAGGCTATGGTCGCCTGAGCCAGTTTTTAGGCGAAGTGGACGTGCCGCTAGATCCCCAGACTTCGCTTTTATATACGTATACCAGCTTATATAGGCCAATATTTCTTTATGTTTCATGAATTCTAAATTAATGTGATTGTTTTCTTCTCCCCCTTACAGGAAGAACATATATTAATGAAGCGGAATCGAAGACATCTCAGAACGGTAACCGGGGAAACTACCCTAGACGCAGAACGGTCGTCATATCATTGGATGACGACGATGACAAAGAAACGACATTGAACACGGAGCGAAGTTTGGCTGGGGCCGAATCAGGAGTGGAAACAGTTGAGTCGTTGAGTGATAGGTACGTTGAAGATCATATCAGGGGGGTGTTTCACAAAGATCCTAAGTTGAACTTATCTCTAATTATACGATCATTTCGTGGAATGCCAAATTCCTGTAAGAATTCTTGATGTTCTTGATCACAAATACTCTTTTTGTCTTCAAAATTTGTATTTTTTTTCATGCAGTCTTGAAGGAGAATCAGACAGTGACGATGAAACTGGATGGGAAGGACACCGTGTTCTTCATGTGCCCATCGTAATCTCGAAAGACTACGAAACACGCCCAGCCCGGTCAACCAAACCCAAGTCCATCACGGTTCCTATATTTATGACAAGCCCACCTTCATCTCCACCTTCATCATCTATACCTTCGGGGCCGCGGATATCGTCCATTGAAGATGCATTAGATCCAGATCCGGGAACAGTTGCGACCCGGTTAGAACCAGTAGAACCGGGTGAAACTGTAGCAGTTGCGATCCTGAAGTCAATGGATGGAACAATCGCAATACCGAACAAACCCATAGCCATAACAAGAGAGCTTCCCCTTGATACTATCACCAATAGCCCGGAGAGGACTGAAGATACACTTGAACCTGACCCTGATGAGCATAAAGACAGCTCTGCTTTGGTTGTTGCGAAAGAAGCAGATCATCCAAAGCCGTTGAGGAACCTGACACCGAAGTCTGGCGTCACCAAGACCAATGCAGAGTTATCTGAGGACGAGCTACGTGTACTGTCTACAGAGATCAGATCTGCCTCGGAATGGCGCAAATTAGGTAAGTAGTGGCAACTGTAGTTAGCAAACATATTGAAGGTATTAGTCTGAAATAGGCAAGCTGTCCTTTTGCAATACCTTAAACAATCGCCTACTGGAACCAGGTGCATCCTTCATTAAACCTATGGGGCAGATTAACATTCCGTAGTCATCGGGATAAGAAATCGTACCCCTTAATAAGATATTATACAAGCTAAGCACCCTTTTGTTGACGATTAACTCTTCACATACCGAAAACCCTTAATGGTCTGTCTCCATCATTTGAATTGATTTTATTTATATTGTTCTCCAGTGTTTAAGCACGACAGATGCATAAGTAAATGGATAATCTTTTACCTACAATCCACGGATAATCGTTGACAGTTAGCTCATCGTATGTTTCCGAATCTTTGGATTAATATGCCTCTTCGAAATGAACTTTCATGACAACAAATTTCTATTTTTCATTAGGTAAGCAACTCGGCCTCAACCAGACTGATATAAAGAATTTGTCTAAGGCGAACGGAGAGGGCGTGACGCAGTGTGCCTTCGGGGTTTTGAAGCTGTGGAAGAAGCGCTTTGGCAACTCGGCGAAGGAGAGACGCATCCTTGCTGCTGTCATTTCTGATCTAGGTCGAGACGACCTGTATTCAGCCATTATCAAAAGTAAGTTCAATGTATGCTGTATCCTACAAGGCGTTGTATGCAGTATCATAACGGGGCGTTGTGGCGTGCGTCTGTAATCCAGCATAGGGTCTTTAAATATGATCTGCTCAAAAAACTAACCAATACAAAGCATCACTTGCCTATTAAAGCACAGCAAAAACAGAAGAACAACCGTGAATGAAGAAAAGAGTTTCAATAAGTGGATATTAAAAAGAATTAAAATATAATGAAAATGATAATTAACTTACCACGCAAATTCTAAAATATGTGTAGGCAGCTGTTTATTCGCAATAACTTTCTTGTTAGTACCATAATTGAATCCATGATTTTTTTTAAAATATTAGCCTGTCGACGTTTTTAATGGGTGTAGAACGTGGAAAAATGCAACGACGATACGACAAATCCTAAAGTTCTGTATAGTGTCTCTATCTATTTACCTTTTTGTTTGTCATGATTTACAGATAAACTGACGGGCAGGATACAGTCATTGGAAGATAGCGTAAAAAGATGGTCAGACGTTTTGAAGGTGAGATATGGCGGAGCTGATTTCGATACAGTGGAGAGTCAGCACTACATGGATATCCCAGTAGTGTATCAAGACGAGGATGGAAATAAGACAACCCTCCTGAGTAGACACGACGTCCTCAATGGTCAGAAGGGCAAAAAACAATTGCCACTGATTCTTCTACACGGAGATGCAGGATGTGGTAAAACGACCTTTCTCAAGCGGCTGGCGCGGGACTGGGCAGAAGGCAACGATCTATCACATCTTTCCAAGGTTCCTCTGGTCCTTTTCCTCACTCTTGAAGAGTTGCGACGATGCCGTAGCATCGGAGAAGCAGTGGTCAGGTCTCTCTTGTTCAAGGAATCCTCAGCAACGGCTGGGATGGTCGATGAATACCTGAGGATGTACCCGGAGAACTCTGTATTGCTGGTAGACGGATTCGATGTATCTCGCTCACAAGGAGATCTTCAGGCCACGCAGACGCTCCGTGACCAGGTGAAATGCCAGATGATTGTTACAAGTAGAGCATGTCTTCCAGAAAGTGAAGATTCCATCCGTAAGTTGATTTCTGTGGAGATGCAAGGCATTGGTTTCGACCAACGAAGCAAGTTTATCGGTTCGTTTTTCGGGCCTGATGTAGTACAAGGTGAGGAGCTTCTTCAGTCCATAGCAGGGGATGATGTCTTATTATCATTCTGCTCTCGTCCAATGTTTCTAGCAATCATTTGCCAGCTATGGAAGAACCATGCACAGCTTCAGGATATAAATACATCCTCTGATATCATTACTTCTTCACTTGTCCTTCGTTTCATTGGTCATGAAGATGTAAAGGATGTCGTAGAGGGCGTTTCAAATGTGATGTCGACGCTTAGTCGAGTAGCACTGGAGAGCATCATGACGCCGGGAGTTCACCTATCGTTCAAGACAATGGACCTGAAAGACGATGATGAGCGCGAGTGTGCAGAGCTAGCTGAGAGAGTTGGTTTGATCAGATGCTCCCCTTCCACCGCCAATGACTCAACTACACACAAAGAAGACAGAGAATGGTCTTTCATCCACCCTCTGGTACATGAGAAATGCGCTGCCATCGGACTAGCATCGCTCCATCGGTCTGACCCGAAAGGATTTGAAGATATCATATCTGCCATTGGGTCCATTGCAGAGTGTGAGTCTATGAGATACATCTTAACCTTTGCTTCCGGTGAAAGTGTTGAGGTCGCAAAGAGAATCCTACGACTTCTAGGTGATCTAGCTTGGAAGGATCCTGGTTCAACTTTGACTGCCCAAGAGCTTGTATTGAAATGTAACTTTGAATGCCATCGAAACGACGCATTGAATCGGGAACTTCAGTTCAGCATACGGTCCCTCCAAATTGCAGCCTTCATCAACAGCTTCATGGTGGATGTCTCTTTCAGGTATTTCATCTTGAACTCCGTCAGGGAAGCCGAGAACCCTGTTCAAATACAGAAGGTTAAGTTCATAATATCATCTCGAATCGACATGGACTACGCCACGGCTTGTTTGCAGAATGGCTACTTCACATCTGTGCCAGAGTTTATCTTTGACATGCCAAAGACTTTCAGTCCTTCAAGAGAAGCTTCCAGAAGACTTTCCGATGACGTAATTACCCCATCCCTTCGATGCCTCATGGTCTCGTCCATTTTCTCCACCCGAGACTTCATATCCAATCTCCACTCCTCCGAAAGCCTAGAAGAACTCAGAGGGTCCGATATTGACCCGAAGTACATCGACCTACCTGCATGGTGCCGAAACTACCCAAACCTGAAGACACTTAGTCTATCATGTATCATGTACCAAGACCCACGGAATATGGACGACCATAGGAACAGCCTTAAATGTCTGGAATCTGTCTTGTGCACCCTCACAAGCTTGGAGTATCTTCAGCTCAGCAACTTCTTCTGCTCGGAAACGATGATCCAGATCCTGATCAAGGTTCTTCAGACACTGCCCAAGCTATCCCACATCCAAGCAGGACCATCTGGTGACCAACTGCATCATTATTCTGAAGAAGTCGAGGAGACTTGTGGTGACGTCTCAGAGGCAACAATCCAAAGCTTCACCAAGGCTACGAACAAGAAGTCTTCGTCCCTGAAGATCCTTCAACTCTCATGCTTCGGGAACTTTGAAAAACTCTACCAGGTGCTGCGGTCGGAAACAGGTTCGAGGGGGCGGAGAGGAAGTGAGCTGTAAGTATAGTGATTTATTCGTTGAAGGCAGTTGTACACATTTTTTAATGCAACACTAGGGCAATCAAAATTTCCCATGAAAGAATACCCGATTTTGATTCAGGCTTTACAAATATTAGAGTATGGATACAAAGAAACAATAATAGCTGTCAG